CACCGCAGAATTAAGCAATCGCCATTCTTCTTGTAGAGCAGTTTCCAACTGAATATAAAGAGTGGCTGGAGGTGGGAAACGTTAAGATACAGCACGGCTGAGAGCATCCCAAAGATTTTCAATGGGATTAAGGTCGGGCGAATATGCTGGCCACGCCATACGCGCAATCCCTTCCATCTCCAGGTAGTCATCGACGATGTCAGCTCTATGGGGACGTGGGTTATCGTCCATTAAAACAAAAGTATATCCAACTGCTGCAGCGTACAATCTCACATTGGGTTCTAGGACCACATCTCTATACCGGACAGCCGTCAAAGAACCCCGTTTAAAGATATGCAGGTCGGTGCGGTATCCTAATGAAATCCCTGCCCACACCATAATGCTTCCGCCTCGGAATGCGTGATGTTCGGTTATGTTTTGGGGCTGATTGCGTGTTCGTTGTTCACGCCATATCCTTATACGCTTGTCATCCGCTTTCAGAGCAAATCTTGACTCATCAGAAAACATGATATTGCCCCCGTCAGATGCATTCCAATTGACATGTTCCCGGCACCACTATAATCGTGCCCTTCTCGATTGGACGAATAGAGGAACACAAACTCGAGGTACCCGGGCGTACAGTCCACTCATATGTAATCTTCGGCGTACAGTTGCTGCAGATATCGCCTTACCAATAGACGGTGTAACCATAGATCTCGCACGTGTGGAGGTCGCTCTGCGATTCCGCTTGGCTACAATAGCAATATATTGATCTTCCGAGGGGGTTGTAACCCTTGGGCGACCGGCTACGGGCCTTCGGACAACTGTCTGTGTGGTTTGGAATTGTTTCCATAAACGTGAAATTACAGAATGATGAACGCCGAAGAAAAGAGCAACATCTGTGATCGACTGTCCTGCTTCAATAAGCCCCACAGCACGCCAGCGCTCAGAATCTTCCATTCGTCTTCTGGAAGTCATAGAAACAGGTATGTCTTGAAAACAAATTGTGCGAAAGTTTTAAACACCGTCTATCAGCACTTACAATCAACTTCTGTAACCCTTCATAAAGGTGGCTTCTTATAAGACTGCCCTTTTTTGCATATTTCTTGACATGAAAGCGCGATTGGCTGTTACCTAACATATTTGCATACTTCCATCTACCTTTGCAGAGAATTGCATCCTCTTCAATTCTGATTGGCTTCCGGAAATTAGCATTTTCCTCTCCGTCCTTAACTTTTGGAAGTGAGTGTATGTAACGTCATTCTATGAAAATTGAATATCTAAAATTTTAATTAGGTAGACCATGAATTAAATGCGTCTTTATTATTTAAATCAATCCGATTCAAAAGTAAGAAACGAATATTCTTAACTGCTTCTATTGCTTTAGCTTAGTTTGTTAATCCTCAACAGACAGATTCAGTTCGAAATGTAAATGTCTTACCTTTTGCCGAATGACAATGGACTCGAAGGAAAAGTAAAACGATGCATTTGTAGTGATTGGACGCAAAATCCCATTTCTAGAGCAAGAACACATTTAGGCTAAAAACCTGGAAACTTGAATGCATTTTTTAGCAGTACATAACGTTACTAATTTTGTACTTAAGACATGTAATTTTAGTAGAACTATAAGTAAAATTGTTGTATTTTTTTGTGTAATGTAGCGCGAGACAAATTTTAAGAGAAAGCTATGCCGGAAGAGTAAGAATGCATTTAACATTGAGTAAATGGGTATCTTGGTAATTTGGCGAGATATCGCCAAGCTAACAACTGCTGGCGAGAAATCTTCAAACTCGCCAAATATGGTAACCATTTGGCGATATTTTAGTTCGGTCTCTCTATCACTGTAATAAATATTGCAACTGAATAAATGTGATTGACCACTATGTTAGCTGTAACCGTAATTCCACCCTCGTATTACTTTCCAGTAATTTCGAGAAGCAGAAAGTACTAGAAATATCTCAGCGGCCGGTGTAAAACTATTTAAGGCCATCTGCTCTCAGTTGCTTAGTTATTGTTGTTGCGAGTTGTAGTTCCGCGTGAACTGAGATAAATCCGCGTTAGCTTTTTCTTTAGATGCGCTCTGCATTCCGTTGTGTTTAGCGATCTTAGTAGTTTGAAGTGTAACGACTGATTATACTGTATGATACTTGTACGATGGAAAATTCCAGTTCTGAAATATTTCTTTTGGTAAAAATACATTTTATTGACCTATTATCGGACTTCTGCATTCAATCTATTACGAACTTGTACGCACGCAATGATATAAAAGATTAATTCAAAATAAGAAAATAGCTCTAAAACCAAAAGTTCAACAGTTTTAGTAGAGGTCATAAACTCATTTTCAGATCGTTAAATTCTAGTTTCGCTGTCTGGTTGAAGGAAATCTTAAGAAATATTATTTTTGCTGTATTTAAATGGCTTAAAAATACGATCATTAAATAAAAATAACTATAAAATTTAAATGTATAGTTAAATGCTACGCTTAATGCAGAGTGGTTATAATTAAAGTGACCCTATTAAGACCACTCTAGAACCCGTTCTACTTATATTGAATTTTGAGGAAATTTGGTATATATATTACATAAACCATGAGGAAACTATTTCTGCAATAAAAAATAGTTCAAATTTTGACCGCCAGGGGGAATTGTGGCGCCTAAAGAAAGATAAAAAAAATCTGTCAGAATCATCAAAATTTATTAAATTACAGAATGTGCTCCATTGACATCAATTACGCGTTGAAAGCGCCTTATAGCATGTTCAATGACAGCTCGAAGTAACTCTCGAGGGACTTCAGCAAGATAACGTGTAATGGTGACTCTCAACTCAGGTAAAGTTCTAATTTCTCCTCCGTTATTACGTTCTTTTAGGAATCCCCACAACCAGAAATCACAGAGATTTAAGTCGGGTGAATGACGAGGCTGGGCATCCGGGTAGCATAATTCACAAGTGCACACCAGTATCGCCACTGAGGGAGGAGTTTCAAAAACAGACCAATGAGCTTCTATTGCTCTTGTGACGCTAAATCTTTGAAACTGTGAATATGAGCGTTTGTTTACGTTATTTTTTAAATACACAGTTTGCGTTTTATTTTACATCTGTTTCGCAGTTATATATGTATGGCCATATAAATGCTGCTACCGTTTCAGTAGAGAATCTTGTAGAGCTTTCATTTTATAAGTTTATTTAATTGTCAACGTTTCACTTTCATGGAACTTATTACGTACTGATATTCGGATTAATGTTCGTGGCACATTATCGCTTTTTATTTCGCGAAAATGACTCCGAATGCAATTAACCTCGAGTATTATGCGTTTACTAACACTTCAAGATTAAGAGAATTTGTACAAGTGTACAATTTTTTCATTGAGCTAAGAATAACTGGAAATGTTACAATGAATCTAGTGTTTTCTTATCTCAATGCTTGCAGTCCTTTGATTTTGGAAGTGTAAGATTCGAAACATATATTGTGAACGATCTGATATTCCTATTGTGAACATTAAAAGTTACATATGCATGAATTAAAAATATTCTTTGTGAATAAGATAAATTCATTCTGTTTGAAGAGTATTCATTTCTTGTGCATTTAAGAGTGAACAGTTATTAATGTGAAATTTAACACACTAAATGTGTACGAATGCAAATTAAGAAAGTTCGCTTTGTATAAAACTGTGCATTGGCTTTTATTACAGAACATCTTTTTCATGTAGACTGCAATAAAAATTGCTGACTTCTACTATTTACATATATAATTATGCTTATATTTGATCTAACTTCGCACTAAAAATTTTCGCAAGAAATCCTCAGTGCTTTAATTATTTTGTACGGGAAACTGCATGGCAACACATTTTCAACTGATGGTTAAAAATGTGTTGCCTTAAATGTTTATGTTTCTTCCTTAAAGCGCGGCAAAAGCCATGTGAAATGACAGAAATATTACTCGAAGCCCATTAGATCATTCTAGAAGCCATTCCCTCGGTGGCTATACAGATGTGCACTTACGAAATATGCATTCGGGAAAGCTCTGAATATTACACGATTCTCGCCAAAGTTAGCACGAAGCAGTTCTCTGACTTAGCCCTCAATACTCCATCTTGCATGAAGACAGTTGTCTGATAACCAGTAAAGCTCGATCTTTTTTTTTTTTTTTTTTTTTTCCTAAGAGCATGATTAACAATGACAAAGGTACGCAGAATGATTTTCTGGCTCTTTATAGGTTTGACTAATTTGCATAAGGAATTTTTAAAAAGTGCCATCTGGCGATCAAAATTTGAACTATTTTTTATTGCAGAAATCTTTTCCCCTATAATCCATATAACGTATGTATCAAGTTTCATCAAAATCCGATAATTATAACCACCCTGTATGTAATGTAATCCAGTACAAAGTCCGTAATCCGGACTCGTCGGGGCTTCGGCGATTAGGGGTTTTTCCGGATTATAGATCATCAATTTAAATCTGGTTAGATGGCATGCAGAAATTATACAATTAAAAATATGAAACCGTAATTTATGAAATAAAGAGCAATTATGATCTAAAAAGAGTATCAAAATTTAAAAAAAAAAAAAAAGGAGCTTAATATTTATTTACTTTATTAAACATTTCTTTCAATGTAAGTTGTTTAAGTTGCTTCGTTTTTGTGCTAAACGCGCATGCGTAAACATTAAAAGCGCATGCGTAAAGCATACAAAAAAGTTTGTGGCTTTGAGGTCCGGATTATAGATCATTCCGGATAATGGACGCCCGGATTACGGACTTTGTACTGTATTCCAAAATGCAGCAACAGTGCTTTAGCAAAAAAGCACTGGAAATCTAAACCAAATTAACATGGATAGTACTAATAAGAAAAATTAATTTAAATATTAAAATCTACGTTAATTTATCATATATGATGAAGTAGTATTATATAAACTTTCACGTACGGAGAAAAATATTACAGAAAGTTCTTGAAACATGTTCTCAGTCTTCGAGCTCTAAATTATACAGATTTAATGATTTATTTATTTATGTTTATATATTTTCAGCTTCTTCTGCACCTCCAACAGCTGTGAAGAAACTTGCCGCCACACCAGCTTCTAATAAACAACCCCTTCCTAATGCTCGTCTGTCTTCGGCAAGGATGGTCAGCAAGAAGCCACCTATAGGTATTTATACCTTCTGCATTACTGAGAATTTTGCCATTTTTTTTGGGGGGGGGAGGCAAGAGAGTGAGGTTTTTTAAATTACAATCTTTTCTTAATAAGATGTGTAATAGTAATTAATACTGCGAAGGAGAGTAGTTCTGATTTAATTATGAGTATTAACAAAATATGGTGGGGCTTCGTTTTATGAAATGTTGTGACTGTCTTGGTGATAATTTCTTTGTTAAAATGACCAAATATTTGTTTGCAGAGTACTGATTCTATTTTTAACATGTAGATTAGTTGATTCTATTTGAAAGAATTTGCAGTTTACTTTGTATGCAATGAAATTCAGATGATGGTGTAATGGTTGTTTTACAGTTGTTCGCATTTTTATGCCTTTGCAAACTAAGACATACATAATTAAAAATTAGTGTAGCAATAATTTTATGCATGGGCAGTTGCTTAGTAGTTCGCCCATTCTTTTTTTGGAACTTCACGATAAATTAAGAGTGGGCAATGAATACAGAGGCTGTTCACACATTTTTTAGACGATGTATATAGTATTCACAAAACTAAATTACGTAAAATTCTTGTGTTTTAAATGTTCTATTTGACATCCCTTATTCTGAACTATCTTTCGACACCGCAAGTTCCAGGATAATAATGCCTTTTGAAGTGGCAGAAGAGGTTTTCTATCCCATTCCTCCCGAACAGCTTTCCAGAGTCCTGTTAGAGTTTGGGGACAACGTTTGGATAATGCAGTTTTTAAAAGTTCGAAAGCACAAAAATCTATAGGTGACACATCGGGAGATTTAGTAGGGATATCAGTGAAGGTTATACCAGTTTGATATCAGTTTTTTTGTTCCATTTCCTTTAGGAAATTTACAGTGGATTTTGATGTGTGACTGCTAGCTTTGTCCTGATGGAGTCTCACAGATGGAATGGCACTGTGGGTAAAGCGATGGTATTTCATTCAGAAAAATTGGCGATAAAATATGTTCCTGATAATATTTGGAGTTAATCTTGACATTTTTTTGCACTCTATTTTTAACTTGCCATTATAAGAAAAACCAGCAACAATCATGAATCCCTTAGAAAAACTTTTGATTCTTTGAAGCCCATGTACTTAAATTTTTGTCTTCCCTTTTATGATAATAAATGGTTCTTTTTTTGTTACAATCATTTAAATACACCCATGCTTCATCTATTGTGACAGTTGTTTTGCATTTTTCTTTGGATAAGTGTTTCTCATATAGAATTCTGCAGCGTGTCCAGCGTTGAGCGATATGCTTTGGAAGAAGACGATGCACATTGCGTTTTTTCGCTTTCTTAAGATTTAAATCAACGTTTATCATTTTCTTTACAGTGGACACCGAGCATTTTAATGATTTTGCAACTGTCCTTTGACTAGGGGGATTTTCTTTTAACATTAAACCACGTACCTTCGCAATAGTCGAAGATGTCCGTTTTTTCTTTGGATACTTGTTTGGAATTTTTGTCCCACTTGAGGCTCCAATTTGACGTTTCTTTCCTTTCTTGTTGATGATATTACCTATCGACGCTTTAGATATCACAAAACCATAACTCTCACATCGTTTTTGGATAACGCAGTATGCACATTTCGCTTCGGAAAGAGCGTCAATGTAGCCTTCGAACCACTGCTTTGTTTAATTCGCCATTTTGAATAAAAACAAAACTTTCAAGCCACAGACGATAATTTTGACTTTTAAAAACATAGTACAATTGCAATTACTTCTTTTGCAGGAAACGAGTTTTTATTACCGCTTACCAAAATCGTCTAAAAAAATGTGCGAACAGCCTCTGTATATTTGTCGGTTTTCGTAGTTCTGTAGGAAATTATAATGATAGCAGGACTTTGTCCAACACGCTGTTTTGATTTTGATCCAAAAACATCCAAAAAAACGTAGCTGAGGGTTTTGTTCCTTCCCCCCCCCTCCTGACACCAACTCCATAAGACGATTTTTGTATTTTTATTCTGCATTAACACTTCAAAGGGCAATTTATGTTTTATCAAATTCTCCTAAAGCTCTATGATGTTTTCTCTTCACAAGGTACAGAGTTACTTTATTGTAATCAATTTTCTGCTTCCAACCATTCCTATTTCACTATGAAGGGTTTTAATTTCCCTTGAACTTTCATGTTTCAACATGAGTTCACAACATTACGGAAAGAAGCTGTAAGGTTATACTTGGTCTAGTCCTATAACCCTATCGGACGTGTACGTCTGAGATGTAACAGTAAATTCTTACTAAAGTTTTATAAAACGACCTTTTTGTTTAAACAGAACTTTGACCATAAAAACACGACTTTATGCGACAATAACTACAGCTCCTGGCAATGCAAATAAGTAAGAACAGTCAATTAACCACTTCACCGTTTCCCTGAGACAAATCCGTCGATTTGAAAAATGTAAAGCGTCAGCAACGAGACACAGTCATCGGTGTACAGTGGGGCCTGGATCGTTATCCCCGATAGACTACTCGCTTCGTGTTTTCCAACCCCCAGAATGTGGCATACATAAAAGGAGGAGATTTATAGCCTAATTGTTCCCGCTATTTCCAGATGGGGTAGTGTCAGAAGCATACAGAACAAAAGTTAACTTAAAAAGATGCGAAATAGGAATTCATTTCTTTTTCCCTCTCAGGGCCCACCAGCGGCCGAGCGGTAAAGTCGCTGAACACTGGTAGTTCGGTTCGAGGTTCGAATCCCGCAAACGGGCTGGCTGCATGGGCGTTTTTGTGGTTTTCCCCATGTTTAACGTGCATACGAGCCAGTTTCCCTTAGAAAGTCCTTCACGAAGGCATCCCTGCCCTTAGGCAGATAGCCCTGGTGTGCTTTCCCGTAATCTTAATAAACTAACCCAAATAAAACTTTTCCCTCTCAGCTAGCAAATACCGGATGTCGAATGAAATCTTAAGTGATGAAGAAACTTTCAATTTTTCACATTTACTTTTCCGTGAAAAATATAATAATTATCATGATGTATAATTATCTAACAATTGTTCCTATGCGTACAAAAGAAATATGTACATGTGTTATAGATAAAAATATATGCAGTGCATATTGGGTGAATTTCATTAGTTTGTGTAACTTTTTTTTTTATTTGTGTAGTTAATATATGTGTTTAATTCTTTCTGCTTTGAACATTCTTCATATTCATTATAACTGAAAAGTATATAAAAGTTTTAAGAAGATTATTCATATAGAAGTGAAACTTAATTATAATTTGCACTGGTTTAAAATGTAACTTCAGTAATTATATATATATATATATATATTTATCTATAAGAAATTAGATGTTCCTTTATGTTCTGCAGTTATTTATTAAAGACTAAAGAGTAAAATACATAAAATTTTGCAAAGGAATTAAGAAGAATATTTAAGAATCCAGAAAATATGAGGAGTGTATCGGTGAAAAATCCGATTTTTTTTTTTTTTTGCTTTGCTTTACTTTTGGCATATATTTTTTATCTTTTGAAAGATTGTCTATTTATATTTACTATTTTCTTTCGAGTAGTAATGATGTGCATGATTTAAGCATATATTTTGTTTTGTAACAAATAGACTGTTTTGCCCTAGTCATAACTTGGATGAAATAATGTTCTGTGTCCCTATTTAATTTCAGTAAGGATTGAGAAAAACACTTCCGAAATGTGCTCATTAGCATATTCTGTGTAGGATAATTATACTGTGGTGCTATGAAACGTTTTCACTTAGGAGTAAGACAGCTAATGGAAACCTGTAAATTTTAAATCCTAAGCAAATTTTTTAATTGTTCTCGAAATGCAGTAAAACGATCATCGTTCCTACTTTGCATTACTTATAAATAATTTTGAATTAAGTTTATTAATTTAATTGAATTACGTTTAATAATTTTAAACTAAGTTCATTAATTTTAATTGAATTAAGTTTTCACAATTTGGAACTAAGTTTATTAATTTTAATAATTTTGAATTACATTTATTAATTTTAATTAAGTTTAATAATTTTGAATAAAGTTTATTAATTTCGTTAAGTTTATTTTTCCTCTTTTGAATCACATTGTTAAATATCTTTAAAGGCCCGCTTTGAAAGTAGCGATGAGAAATAGTCTTTCTAAGGATTCGCAAACATCTTTAATGCATTTTAAAAAATTAAAGCTGCTAACACAGTGAAATTATTTTTTCCGTTTGCATTTTATGTGTGGTAAAATTCAGGGGAAAAAATTACTTTTTTCCAATTTGAAATCTAGACTATAAATTCCCATACTGAATAATAAAATTAATGTGAAATACATAAATAATGAATAAAAAATGATGATTTTATAATAAAGACACTGAAAAGAATGTAATTGTTTTCTGTCTAACCTTTTGTCCGAATTTTCAGTCGTTTCTTTCAAGTTCTTTCTTCCATCTTTTCCTTCCCCATCTTCTATTCAACCAATCTTTAATATCTGCTGTCTTTCATTTTATTTCTAAATTTTCCTTTGTATCTTCTTTTTAATCTTTCCTCCTCATTCTTTTTAAATTTTTCTTTAAATTCTTCTTCCCGTGTAAGCTTTTCTCTGCATCTTTTAACCTTCCCGTTGTATCTTTTAAGTTCTTTCTTCTGTTTGTAATTTTTCCTTCCTCATCTTCCATTCAATCATTCTTTCCAATCTGCTGTCTTTCGTTTTATTTCTAAACTTCTTTTGCTTCTTCTTTTTAATCTTCCCTCCGCATCCTTTTTAAATTTTCTTTTCTCATCTTTTCTTCAAGTTCTTCCCGTTTAAGCTTTTCTCCGCATCTTTTCTCTCTAACCTTTCCGTCGTATCTTTTAATTTCTGTCTTCCAACTCTAACTTTCACTTTCTCATCTTATATTCAACCATTCTTTAATATCTGCTGTCTTTCATTTTATTTCTAAACTTTCCTTTGCATCTTCTTTTTAATCTTTCCTCTTCATTCTTTTTAAATTTTTCTTTCTCATCTTTTCTTCCTTTAAGTTCTTTCTTCTGTCTGTAACTTTTCCTTCCTTATCTTATATTCAATCATTCGTTCCCGTCTGCTGTCTTTCGTTTTATTTCTAAACTTCTTTTGCTTCTTCTTTTTAATCTTCCCTCCGCATCCTTTTTAAATTTTCTTTTCTCATCTTTTCTTCAAGTTCTTCCCGTTTAAGCTTTTCTCCGCATCTTTTCTCTCTAACCTTTCCGTCGTATCTTTTAATTTCTGTCTTCCAACTCTAACTTTCACTTTCTCATCTTATATTCAACCATTCTTTAATATCTGCTGTCTTTCATTTTATTTCTAAACTTTCCTTTGCATCTTCTTTAATCTTTCCTCTTCATTCTTTTAAATTTTTCTTTCTCATCTTTTCTTCCTTTAAGTTCTTTCTTCTGTCTGTAAACTTTTCCTTCCTTATCTTATATTCAATCATTCATTCCCGTCTGCTGTCTTTCGTTTTATTTCTAAACTTCTTTTGCTTCTTCTTTTTCTTCCCTCCGCATCCTTTTTAAATTTTCTTTTCTCATCTTTTCTTTAAATTCTTCCCGTGTAAGCTTTTCTCCGCATCTTTTCTCTCTAACCTTCCCGTCGTATCTTTTAAGTTCTGTCTTCCAACTCTAACTTTCCCTTCCTTATCTTCTATTCAGCCATTCTTTCCTATCTGCTCTCCTTCATTGTATTTCTAAACTGTCTTTAGCATCTTCTTTTTATCCCTTCCTCCTCATCGTTTTTAAATTTTTCTTTCTCATCTTTTCTTTAAATTCTTCTTCCCGTGTAAGTTTTTCTCCGCATCTTTTCTCTTTAAACTTTCCGTCGTATCTTTTAAGTTCTTTCTTCCAACTCTAACTTTCCTTCCTTATCTTCTATTCAGCCATTCTTTCCTATCTGCTCTCCTTCATTGTATTTCTAAACTGTCTTTAGCATCTTCTTTTTATCCTTTCCTCCTCATCCTTTTTAAATTTTTCATTCTCATCTTTTCTTAAAATTCTTCTTTCTCGTCTTAAAATTCTTCTTCCCGTGTAAGTTTTTCTCCGCATCTTTTAAGTTCTTTCTTCCAACTCTAACTTTTCTTCCTCATCTTCTATTCAGCCATTCTTTCCTATCTGCTCTCCTTCATTGTATTTCTAAACTGTCTTTAGCATCTTCTTTTTATCCTTTCCTCCTCATCCTTTTTTAATTTTTCTTTCTCATCTTTTCTTAAAATTCTTCTTCCCACGTAAGCTTTTCTCTGCATCTTTTAACCTTCTCGTCGTATCTTTTAAGTTCTTTCTTCTGTCTGTAACTTTTCCTTCCTCATCTTCCCTCTGCATCCTTTTTAAATTTTTTTTCCTCACCTTTTCTTCAAATTCTTCTTCCCGTGTAAGCTTTTCTCCGCATCTTTTCTCTCTAACCTTTCCGCCGTATCTTTTAAGTTCTTTCTTCCAACTCTAACTTTCAATTCTTTCTTTCCAATCATCCTTTCCCATCTGCTGTCTTTCGTTTTATTTCTAAACTTCTTTTGCTTCTTCTTTTTCTTCCCTCCGCATCCTTTTTAAATTTTCTTTTCTCATCTTTTCTTCAAATTCTTCTCGTGTAAGCTTTTCTCTGCATCTTTTAACCTTCTCGTCGTATCTTTTAAGTTCTTTCTTCTGTCTGTAACTTTTCCTTCTTCATCTTCTATCCAATCATTCTTTCCCATCTGCTGTCTTTCGTTTTATTTCTAAACTTCTTTTGCTTCTTCTTTTTCTTTCCTCCTCATCCTTTTTTAATTTTCTTTTCTCGTCTTTTCTTCAAATTCTTCTTCCCGTGTAAGCTTTTCTCCGCATCTTTTCTCTCTAACCTTTCCGTCGTACCTTTTAAGTTCTGTTTTCCAACTCTAACTTTCTCTTCCTCATCTTCTATTCAACCATTCTTTCCTATCTGCTCTCCTTCATTGTATTTCTAAACTGTCTTTAGCATCTTCTTTTTATCCTTTCCTCCTCATTCTTTTTAAATTTTTCTTTCTCATCTTTTCCTAAAATTCTTCTTCCCGTGTAAGCTTTTTCCGCAACGTTTCTCTAACATTTCCATCCTATCTTCTGAGCATTTTCTTCCATTTTCTCACTAACCTTTCCTTTCCATGTTCTGTTTTAACTTTCTTTTTCTATCTTTTGTCCAAGCTTTGATTATGTTGTTTCTGGACTGTCTTTTAGATCTTTTTTTAAGCTTTCTGTCGCATCTTCTTTTTAATCATTTATCCTGCATCCTTTTTTAAATTCTTAATCTTTTTTTTTTTTTTTTTCTACCTTTCCTTTCCATTTTCTAAGCACAGCTTGCTCAGCCGTCCGAACAGATAACGCACGAACTTTGTTGTTGTTTTCTGTTCAATTATCGGCCCATTTGCTGAGGATGCCACATTGCGTAATCAGTTTATGTTTGGAAGTCCTTGGCAAAGACAGCTTTTAAGGCGAATGGCCTTTGCTTTTGCTAATCGATTTCTTCTGTACTTTTTATTGGGAATGTATGACTGATAAATATTTTAATGTATTTTTCCATAATTATCCTTACAGAAGAATTCCCCGTGACTCAAATCAAATTCTTCCTAAAGTTATATGATCTCCGAAAGCACATGTAGGTTTTATTAAATCGTATTATACAATATAAAATATAGTTACGAAATGGTCAGCCGCGGTAAGATAACTTCCCCTCAAAGCGGTTTTAGAGTTGCCAGAAAAGGACAAAAGAACGCAGGGTTGTCAGAATTGGCACGAAATCACGCATAAGATAACTTCACCGCAAAGCGGTTTTAGGGTTGCCAGAAAACGAAAAAAGAACGCAGGGTTGTCAGAATTGGCACGAAATCGCGCATTTGGCGACAGAATTGGCGATTTGCCATAGTAGAAACTAGAACGAATTCTTACCGGTTTACCCCAGAATGTTCTTGCTTCGTCTATGGCATTCGCCAGATGGGCTGATTTCATGCCAAATCTGGCAACCCTGCCTTAACTTGTCATTTTCTGAAACCATAAACGCTCTTTGAGGGGAAACTATCTTACCGTGGCTGGCCGTTTCGTAATGATATAAAACTAATATCGTTTTAATTAAAATCAGAAACCTTCGAAACGGCATCCATTTTATCCAGGTTATGTCAAAGGTTATTTTATTTATTTATTTATTTATTTATTTATTTTTTTTTTTTTTTGCATTTTGTTTTGCATGAAGCGCATGCTTGAGCCGCTTTTTTGTTCAACAGCTGCCAAAACCCGCACCCACCTCACTGTCAACAATATTGTCCAGGGGAGGGCCGTGTCGCCTTCGGTTGTGTCACCAAGAAATGAGAGGAGCGCCCGAATATCGAAGCCCGCGAAAGGTTGGTTTGTGTTGTGTGTCTTTTTGTGTTTGTGCCGTTTGTTTTAAAGTATATTCCACGTTGCGAATGAGCTGCGTAATTATTAGGCGATTGCAAAAGTTCTCCAAGTTTTTGGCAATAAAAATGTCTAGATAACGCTGTGATGAATGGAATTTTCGCCCAGTAAAATACGTAAGCATGTGTAAGAATAAATCACGCTTAAAGATATTTCAAGCAGTTGAAAATATCGAATGATAATATATATTGGGTATGGTTTGTTGTGCGAATTTCACAGTGGCCGTACTGCAGTCCTAGCGTGCGGAAACAAGTAGAGGAGGATGCCGCTCACGGTAACACATGGCTTCCCTGGTTTTGGGAATTTAGAGACAGAAGTTGGAAGATCAACTATACTCAGGACGTCCATTAGTAATTTCTGACTAGATTCTGAACCAAGCCATTTATATATTGGCGAGATTTGTAAGTTGGTATATTTGTTATAAGCGATAATAGCTCTAAATGTGGTTTATGCATTTTACTAAAATTATTTAAAAGAATGAACTAAGTACCTTTATTTCCGCTCGTGCAGAATGAAAGAGAAAGAAAATAGGTTACCAAAAATTAAGCATTTCGCCAAGTGAATTCGTTATTCTTGGTGCAAACTGAAAAAACTCTGCCAAGATAAATGTTTGAATTTCTCGGCAAGTTTCCCACCAAATTTTATAAAATTAAAAAATGTAGGCAGAATTTGAGAAGTACAATCGGGATATGGAAAAAAACAGGCATGTTACTTCAGAAAAAGTTCTGTTTTTGTGTGTGGATACCATTGTTCGAACAACGCTATATATAACGCACCAATATATATATATATATATATATATATAAACATATGTTACGGTGAAACATCGAAATCTGGAGAATGTCGACTTTCACCGGTGAATGTCAACATTCACATAGTCTCTTGGTTTATGTCCGAAATATTTTCCAAATACTCTTATTTCTGACTTACACCGGTCAATGTCGACATTCACCATGTACTAATGGTGAATGTTGAACATATAACAATATTGTATTTTCTTCTCCGTAATTCAGTCGCGAATAAGCGCACTTGAGACTTGAAATAAGAACATGAGAACCTAAAACACACAATACATTCAAAATGAGAAAGGAAAATAATAGAAGTTAAAAACTTACTTAATTATACAGTACGTTCTAAATGAGAAAATAAAATAACAGTCATAAAAAAACTTACTAAATTATGTGATTCAAATCTTATTTATTGCAACAACTTAAACTATTATGGCATTTTATGACCTCTCTTTTCGACTTTCACCAGAGCATATCTGTGATAGTCGACATACACTGGTGAGGGTCCGAATATACAAGAATATAGTGCAATATTCGATCTTTCACCGACGTATTTGGTGAATGTTGATATTCTCCGGTGAAAGTCGACATTCTCCAATTTCGGTCTTTCACGGTAACATATATATATATATATATATATATATATATACCTACTCTGTTACTTGTTTCCGCGAGCTCAGTTTTTTTATTCTTATATGTTCGTAAATTGTGCATTTTTTGCTTAAAAATTGATTGAATTATGCTGTTCTTATCTTCCGGTTACGGTTTTTATGGCTTTAGTTAACCTGAATGCAATAGTTGTAGAATTATCAACAATTTAAAAGTTGTTTAAGTGTGGCGAAGCCTAATTTTTGCATTACCATAGCAGCCATATTTGTTGACATTTGGAACTTAGCAGAATGGTGGATTTGTTGCCAATCTACAGTAGCTTCGCGTCAACAAAGATAACGTCTTCTTTTATTATTGAGAATTAAATCATGCTTAATCCATTCTGAAATTATCATTTAAGTTATTAAATTATCCCATATATTGATTCAGCGTAGCGTCCACAAGAAATTAAGTTCGTTTTTACACCTTAGGCGTCTTTTTGCCGAGTGAGTCTAAAAGTAAACTTTCAGTTTTTGCACCGAAAAATCTGCCTTCTTGCCCGTTGGCGAATTGCTTGCTTTTTCGTAGAAACTCTAATTGTAAGAATTATTCTTTAAATTGTTTTAACTGTATTTATGTTTTATATTTTTCTGAATTTTTCAAATTTTGATAAAGGTATTTTGAGGTTTTTATGTATTTTTGTTTAGTCGCGACGTGAGAACTGAATTAATTGTGTGAGAAATAAAATTCGAAGAAATAAGTTTAAATGAAATGCAGCATAAAATGCGTATAATTTAATATTCTGTATAAGGAAGTCATGTCGTGTACTTTTTTTTTTTTTTTTTTTTTTTTTTAAAAAAAAACTTTAAACCAGACAATTTTAATCGAAGAGGGAATCTACGGCAAGACCAATAGATGACTTGGGCCTAATGTAAAATCTGAAAGCTTTCAGAATTTATTTTTTTTTAAAGTTATGTTTGTGTAAATTATGTGCATTATGTTTGAATCGGTCTTTAACAAATCTTGGGTTTTGGTTGTAAAGACATTACGTGGTTTCGAAGCAGGAGAGATGAAAGTTGAGCAACGCCTTCGTCGCGACTCGAATTACGGGCCTCTCGAATACACGCCGAGCGTGCTGACAACTACACTACGAAGGCACGCTAAGAAGGCGGGAAAAATACCTTATATACTACATTAGGTTATTTCGAAGCATGAGAAATGAGCAATGCCTTCGACGGGGACTCGAACCCCGGGCCTCTCGAATACGCACCGAGCTTGCTGACCACTACACTACGAAGACAGGCTATGAAGGCGGGAGAAATACCTTGTATGGTAATTATTGAAGGTACAGACTGAAAGGTAGTATTACTGTAGAATAAAGCTAATAGGACGAAAGTTACTTTGCGTTAGTAAATATAGTTTGAATGAGAGCATTTCCAGATATTAATAAGGCCCACCAGCGGCCGAGCGGTAAAGTCGCTGAACACTGGTAGTTCGGTCCGAGGTTCGAATCCCGCGAACGGGCTGGCTACATGGGTGTTTTCGTGGTTTTCCCCATGTGTAACGTGTATACGAGCCAGTTTCCCTTAGAAAGTCCTCCACGAAGGCATCCCTCCCCTTAGGCAGATAGCCCTAGTGTGCTTTGCCATAATTAAATACACCACACCAGATATTAATATAATGTTTACTGCATCTTCATTGCTGGCTGGAATGTCTGTTCATCTTGTTTCAAGGCATGATGAGACAATATCGTTCACATTATTACTTTGCATATTATTGTATTATCGTTTTTGGCAACAGTTTTTATCTTTAGAATTCGATGTGTTTATTAAAATATAGAAGATGAGATTTTTGACTACTGAGCTGGTGAATAAAAAATTATATTTGATGTTGATACGGTAATCTTTTTATTTTATAGTAAGAATTTATTTGCACTGTATTATATTGTACCAACTTAAGATTCATAAAGGCGTACTGTTTATATTTGTTATAATTATTATTCATAGCCGAAACTGAAAAATTCTCGACTGGCGTTTTATAATATAATTCAGAGAATACCATTCGCTTTATCGCTGTTTCGGTGTCTTAAAATTTCGATGCATGAAAACCAGTTTCCACGTATAAATATAAACTATTGTGAAGCTTTGAGGTAGTTAAATTATGAATGCCGATTGAGCGCCAAGCTATTGTTTTTTCTCCACACGTATCAACCAAGCATGTCTTAGTTGCTGGTCTTTTTTTACAATAAAATGTGTAGGAAGAAAGTCGTATGTTACTACTTGTTTTCGGCCTTTTTCCGCTTACGTAAGCAATTGTCTTGTCAAAACTTGTTGTGAGATTACTAGAATATATGACATATAATCACTGAGAGAAATATCAATAGTATGAAGTCAGAACTAAAATCTTCAGTTTTTCTTCCAAAACAATAGTCATTGAACCAAATCTGAGCACATGCCCATGTTATCACAGCTGCAATATTACTACGTCTGCAGGTGCAGAAACAATTTAAATATCGATATCTTTTTCAAACGCCTTTACTTAGAAGGTATTGTAGATAGCACCTGTTCTTCCTTAAACAACTAACTATCCATCATCGCGGCCCGGCTCTTTCTTTTTTTTTCGTTCTATTAAGCCGATTGACGAAATTTAACTTGCGATTTTATATTTCGAAAACGCAACTTAGGATAGCACTTCCTCAGAGAACCCGGTAAATGTAAACATCGCCAACTTTGGCGATAATAGCTCAAACTTGGTAACCCATCGGATTTATCCTATTCGCTTGTTCGAAGTTTGCAACCATTCCTCTTGCGTTTATTTTGTTGAATTAACACTGTCGTTGTTCGCCTTTGCAGATTTATATTATTCTTCTCTTATTTATTATTATTTTTTCTGAATTTTTAACAACGAATAGATAGAAATATTTTCGTAGATGGATGCCGGTTCTCGGTTCGGGATGAAAGGAGGGGTGAATGCTAATTTGTAACACGGCTGTTCACGTTCACAATTATTAACAGCTCTAAGAACCGGCAGTTTAAATAACTAAGTAATGCTTTTATTTTTATTATTGGTTATTGTCATCTAAAATGAGAATAAATCAATTTTCTGGCTTAAATTTTAACAATATATTGTTAATGCTTTTCTAACAATAACCTTTCAGAGGATGGCAGGTGTGACATAAATAGATGATTAAATTGAAATAAAAAATATTGATTATCTAAGATGTCAGAATAGTTCGATGCATCATCACCATGGTCATCAAAATTAGCAAACCACTGCTGGTGTAAGGAATATATTGTTTTCTGTGTTAACTGGAATTTAAGACAAATTTTTTTCGTATATCACGCTTAACCGGTTAATTTCAGTATATTAATACTAATTTATATTTTTAAATAAATTTTTATTTCCGTTATAAATCCTTATATATTGTCTTATGCTTAATATATTCTTTTCTGTGCTAACTTGGAATTTAATACACATTTATTTTCGTATATCACGTTTAACCGGTTAGTTTTACGTCTACATGCTTATTATCTGTGAATTTTTACTACCATATGCTTAATATATTCTTT